GCGGAAGCCCTCCGTGCCCGCGGCGCCGCGGGCTGCTCAAGGCGGAGAGCTGCAGTGAGCCCGTCTAGGGCCCCAAATTACGCTTTTCTGTTCGCGTCGCACCCGTTCACAAGAGCGGTGTAGGTGTGGCGTCTTGTGTTGTGCGAGTGCTCAGCACAGCAGCAAGCACTCGCTTAACGGACTTAGGAGTAGCCATGTTCCAGATAAAAGCCTGGAAAGAGCTTTTAATGCTGTCTTTCCTCATACAGTTTCTCAGGCTGTTGTGTACCACAGAGCACAAAAAGTAGCCAGAAAGCTGGTTGTAGGGGGGGTGTAGTCTGTTGAGACTGCTCACTTCTTTTTCCTGTATCTCTAGGTATGGTCCCAAAATGCCTCTTGCAGTGGATTGTACCGCTGAGCTGATCTGTTGCAAGGTCCTGGATTCATCTGGTCGATTGAAGTCACATGAGCTCATCCTCTCCTATGGGCTGGCTCTTGTGAGGTGGGGCTCTGAAGACCTGCATGCTGTGGGAGAGAGACCTGGCCAGACAGCCTTGTTCAGCTGTCTGATTTCTCTGTGCCTCTCGGGGACCAGAGTGTTCTACAGCATGTGGGGGGTTTGTCTCTGGGGTTCCAAGTTTCTCTGCAGCTCTTGATAATCATTTATCTTTCCTGTAACCTGCATACAGGTTTGTCAACTTGATCACAGAACGGAAACAGAAGGTGGTCAGCATTCCTCTGAGACAATTAGCCAGAGAGGTAAATTTATAAAAACAGTTCCTCGGTAATTTAGGGATGTACAGAGAGCACAGGGATTGTCTGCAAACAGCACTGAGTGGAGGGAGTCGTTCTTTTGGTTATTCTTTTGTAACAGAAATAATGAATACAGATGCCAGTTCTTCCCAACCTCAAAATTTTGAAGAGGCTTGATGTAACTGGGTCTAAAACTTTTTTCTTTAAAGTCAGATTAGGAGGAACAAGGGCTGATGATTCTTAAAGCATTGTGAATCATCTGTGTGATCAAAAGTCTTGATTTACATGTAAATAGTCCCACTGTGCCACACGTTTTGTTTCTTAACTACTGAGATATGGAAAAAGACCTAAATCTATGGTTTATAAATTCTAGTCTTTGGCAAGGAAGTGTATGCATAAAAAGCACTTAATCACATTTGCAGGCATTTTCATCTTGTGTTTCTCACCTGAGGTGAGCTTGTCCACTTCTGAGTGGAGAAAGGAAGGCTCAGGGTGTAACCACAGCAGCAGGACCAGCTGGAGTCCTTGTATTGCCAGCTGCACTGAGTGTCCTGCCTGTGTCTGAGCAGCGAGCCCTGGGAGTGAAGCACTGGCAGAGTCTGAGACTCCTACACACCCAGCCCTGCATGGGGCCTCTGTCTGAGAATGCCTAATGGACTTCCCCCACCTCAGTTTTTGAGGAGAGGGTAGCTTCTCACCTTTTAAAGCTCATCAAGCTTAAAAGTAGAAGTCTTGCATGATTGAAGTTAGTTGCCCTTAGGAAAGCTGCACTAAATTGCATGTGACATAGAGCGTGTATTACACGATTCATGTCTTTGATATGTAAACTGTCATCCAGAACATTTCATCCATTTAAATGTAATCTAACTGCTTCTTGGTATCTCTTCAAGTTATAAATAGCGCCTCTGTCTACAAAGACATCTGTTGTTACAAGTAAAGTAGAAGAATTTAGACTGTAACATCCCAAGTTGGTGTGGAACATAGGCCACAGGAGGGGACAGACCATAGGCGGGGATCTCGGCCCGCCCTTGGAGTGGGGAGGGGGGTGTGCAGTGCAGGAGAGGCCTGGAACAGGCCGCTCCCACCCGGGTAGAGGTCTCTGCGGCCTTGCGGGGCTTCGTACAGTTGCTGCGGGATGTGGTGGAACTGTGGGTAACACCCCTGGCTGTTGCTGCAGGTGGACATCCCCATCTGGGTGGTGGATCTCCGTCACGAGCTGACCCACGGGAAGCTG